ATGACAAACTAAAGAAGGGCCAATAGAGAGCCTCCAAAATCTTGACGGTCCTTGTGGGTTCCTTTCAATCCCGGTTAGTCTATGATTCTACGAAACCATCATCACAGATTTCTGGCGACTACTGAGCCAAATGGAGAGACGTTAAGGAGCCCCCCAAGTAACCAAGCATCTGCCACTCCATGCAAACCTCAAACCAATGGCAACAGAAGAAAGAAAACCCCCACATTAGGACAACTTCACTTTCACAGGGCAGTGCCTGTCCTTTAACAGGAACTCCCAAGTAAAATCTGGAAAAAAAAATAAAAATCAAGCCCTTCGTATAACCACACTACTCATTTCTACCATGATAAAGACAGAAATAAAACACATTTCCACTTTTCACAGTGGAAGGGAGAACTACGAGCTAACACACAGGCAAATTCACCAGAACAGAACAATCCATCATTTTTCAAGATAGCTCACAAGCAGCACACTTCATAGTTTCCTTAAAGAATTGCCTGTTATACCTATGTGGGCTCAGCAGAAAGACAAGAGCTCAAAAACCTTAACTCTGCCCACAAGGACTTCTATTATCGACTAAAGGAAGTCAACTTACGCTGGAGAAGCTCCACTTCCTTATGTATTAAAGATAAATAATGGATGCTAGGTTAGCAGACTATTCAAAACAACCTAAACCACTTCAGAAACCTGAAAGAGTTAAGGAGTATTCAGCATCTCTGCTATTAAGCAAGGGTACTTTTAAACACACATACCAACATCCGATGGTCTCAGACCACCAGGAACTTCCTACTGCACATGCTGTCAGCACTGTCCACTGCAATAAACCTTTGTACTCTGAAATGAAGCAATACTGTAGCTGATGCTCTTTGATATATTCCTGTAGGCCTGTCCCCTTGAAGCTAATTTAACGTAACACACTAACATAATGTATTTACTGGCTTACAAGTGGGTTTGATTGCTCTAACTCTTTCATCATCCAGAGCAAACTAACCAATTTAAACCGAGCATGTGTCAATTTACTGGTGTCCTTGCAGAAGTCATCCATGGATGTAACATTAACACAGAACAACCACCTCCCATGTGCCTGCGCTGGCTGGTAAAGCACAAGCCACGAAATAGCAAAGGAAACAACAGCTAAACTAAAACTCCTGCTTATTACACAGACCCTCCGCACCCAGCACTCATTCCTGGAACTCCCTGGAACTTCTCAGTAGAATCTTGTGGCTTGACAGATATTTCCCGTCTATTCTTTAGAGAACAGAAACCACCGAGATGAAGCACTGGTGAGTTCCTCATTCTAAGTTTTCCAAGTACAAGAAGGAACCGAAAGAATTGTTGGCGCATAAGCTCCTAACAAAAAACTGTACGGAACAATGCTCTATCTGGGGCATACTTCCAGTTCTCTCTCCTCCTCTCGCTACAACCGTTTAACCTCTCACAAACTCAAAATCTGCTCTTTGGCTCTATCATGACGTTCCCCATGGGCTAACTTGACAAGCACAGGGCTCCCCAGAAGCATTTCCCAGTTCAGAACTCCCAGCTGGCACACTTCTAACTTCTTTGGAACGTCCCAAATGCCCCTGCAGCACGTGGCTTAGGCCAGCCAGCATCCCCAGCCAACACTGTCACAATTGGTCATAAATTGTCGACTGTCTTATAATGAGGAGCAACAAACTCACCTACAACGTGCAGCTAATACTGGGTTTCAACTCAGAGGCTGTTCCCTACCCCAAGCAGTCAGGCTGCCTTCATACCACATGCTACCCATACCATAAATACAGACATAATGTGAAAGTAAACTGCTGCCATTAAAGCCATTTCTGATTTATTATTATTATTATTTATACTTTCAATTTCACATTACTGGCTAAATAGAAACGAATTCACATTGGACTCCCTTGTGAGGCTCTTTTGTAAGCCATGTGAGCGTTCATTCCAGGAGAGGTTTTGTAACATTTATTTGTTGTTACAGACAGACCTTACCATAACAATAAGGCACAACAAGTTCTCAGAAACAATCTGTGTTTGTTACCAGTCACCTTGGCTTGCATTATCCAAGAAAGAAGCAGGATAGAAAAAAAATTCACCGCTGGAACAACACCAAGGCCTATTTTACTATTACATTATCAGCAAGTAAAAACAATCACAAAATAAAAGTTAAAGCGGCTGAGTTAAAAAAAAAACAACTTTTAAAATGGCAAAAGGCAATGATGGAATTCACAGTGGGCTATTGCTGAAATACATTCACACTCTTCTGAAGTATGACCTTATGCATCCAACTGATGCATTCATTACGTAAACATCTACCCTGAGAGTAAATTTAAAGTGCTCAGGCTCAGCAAATGTGTTCAGACACCATACCTGAATGAGGCTGAAAGCCTTTGTCTGGAGACAGAGCAGCCAGCGCTCTGAAAATATGAACTTAAACTTTGTGATAAGCCTGAAGCTCCAGTGTTGCCTCTCTCACCCAGAGGACCTGTGCCCATGACTCGCACTTTGCTGGCAGTGGTTGCCAGAAAGGATCCCTGAGCCAATGACGGACTGACTGAAGCTGCACTGAAGTCATAGGGACTCCCACACAGCGCATTCCCTCGTCACCAAATTAAGCACGTGTTCCATCTTGCTACATTCCACACTTAGGCACAGTGAGAAGTTTCATCAGTTTTACATTATCTCAAGAAAATCAGTATGAATTAAAAGCCATTGTAAGGGCTGTGCTCAAGTGCTTTTTTTATTTCACAGTGCATCCCGCGCTCCAAGCTTCTGTGATGATCCGGCACACTCCTCTGTTCAGCTGTCACTATTCAGCATGTCGTGGTATTGGGCAAATCATCATTCCATTAAAGAAAATCACTATCTCCCAATGCAGCACACCACAGGCAGCAGCTAACTGAGCTCCAGTGAATTTAAGAGCAATTCTTGCTGAAGGTAACGTTTTAACGAGAGTTATTTCAAACGCTTCTACTTTTTAAGAGCCAGACATAAAACATCTGCTATACAGCATTAAGCACTTAAATATTTTCAGACAAAAATACATCCTTGCCATATCAGAGGCAGAGAACCCTCCCTCCATAGAAGCACCAAGTGCAGCAATCACTCTGCCTCACCTCCAGGTCAGCACAACACACGTCTTGCAGAGGTTTATCATTACTCCAAACCACATTAATAAAACCAACTCCTGCCACGACCACGTACAGAGCAAGGACACTGCTCCACAGTAAAGTTATTTCACGGCCAAAGCATTCCAAATCTACTCTACCAAGCTGAACTATGCAGAAGCTTCAACACCAGAGAAGTTCCAGAACATCCCCAATCCTGCCGAGATCTATTTACATACTTGTAAGATAAGCACATCAAAATACTTCTGAGAGGTAAAAGCCCCTTAAACTCAGGCGTCTGCTCACAGGGCCGGGAGCTGGAAGCAGGAGCCTCCTCAGCACGTTCACAGCTGCTCTGCCCCACATGCACACAGCACGCTCATCCCTGGGGCTCACAGGGGTCACAGCTTCACAAATAGGTCTGGAAGGCAGCGACTGAGTGCCACAATAATGGAAGTGCTGCTTCTACAGTGAGATGAATCAAATTCATCCTCCGAGTTACAACTTAATGTCACTGTGAACTGAATTACGCTATTAACCTAGACTACTAAAAGTTACCTCCTTAATAAGCAGGAATCAGAGAATCGCATGAGTTGGAAAGGACTCTTAAAGGCCACCTGGTCCAACTTTCCTGCAGTGAACAGGGATGCCTACACTACATCAGGTGCTCAGAGCCCACCCTCTCTGACCTTGGGTATCTCCTGGCACGGGGCATCTACCACCTCTCTGGGCAACCTGTGCCAGTGCCTCACTGCCCTTATTGTAAAAACTTTCTTATATCCAGTCAAAGGACACTAAGTATTTTAAAGGTGTTCATAAGACCAGCAAGCAAACATATGGCAGCCCCAAGGAACACCGTGTGCTCCTCACCCTCCACATAAAACAGCGAGTTCACTTCTTTCTTGCTAAAGCTGCGTAGCTTAACTCACTCAAGTAGGAACATCATCTCACCAACACAAGTGCTCAGAATGGAGCGAGTCGCATTTTGGGTTTTCTGAAACTACCTGGAAGACCGAGGTTAGGGTTAGAAGAAGGGACATCCTGAGACGGACATCTTACTTGTATAAACAGGACAGAACGAGCAAAACATAACACGCACCTACATGGAGTTCCAACTAAAAATAGAGAGCGGCGATGCAAGCAGCCAACGGTCATCGCTCCCAATGACAGCATTAATAATCGCAGCCGCTTCAGAAAGGTGGGTGGCCCAATAAAAGAGGCCCCGGGGTGCCGTTCTGCCCTCCTGGCCGCGCCGCCGACTTTCCCCAGCCAGCCGGCAAAGCTCCGCAGCGAGGCGCAGCGCCCAGCCGGAGCCCCGCACGTGCGGCGCGCAGCCCCGCGGAGCCCAGCGCCCGCCCGCCGCCCACGGCCCGCAGACGGAGCCCGGCTGCGCGGGGGGGGGGCCTCGCCGTTCCCCCACCCCCCTCCGCAGCCTCGCCGAGCCTCAGATTCCGCCCGTGAGCGACACCCGACACCAGCGCCTCCAAACCCCGCAGAAATCCGGGACCGCGGAAACGCGGCGCGGCGAAGGGGGGGCGAGGGGGGACGCGCACACGACTTTTGTCTCTCTTTTGCGACCGGACGCGGCCACAGAGAGCCCCCCTCCGCAGCCCGGTCCCCGGGGGAAGCGGCCCCGCGAGGAGGGAACGGGAGGCCTCTGCGTGCGGCGGGGCCCCCCGCACCCCGGGCCGGGAGGAGCCGGGCTATGGGGGCACGAGACGCGCCGCCTCCCCGCCCTCCCGCAGCCGCCCCCGGGGAGCCCGCTCTGCCCGTCCCGTCCATGTGCGCGTCTCTCCCCGGCGGAGTTCTGGGGAAGTTTCTCCAAACTCCGCCAACAAAAGGGGCAGAAGCTCCCTCTGCCGCCGCTCCCCCCACCCCCCCTTCCCTTCCCACGGCACTCACCCCCGGCCGAGCCCGGCTCGCAGCGCAGCACCGAGGCGGCCAGGAGCCGCAGCAGCAGCAGGAGCGGCGGCGCCGCCTCCATGTTGTGCCGCAGCAGCAGCTGCCGGAGCGGAGCCCGCCGAGCGTCTCAGGCAGGTTCCATGCTCGGGGCGCTGCGCTCGGCGGGGAGGGAGGCGGGAAGGGGGAGGCGCCGCGCCCGGCCCTCCTCCTCCTCCTCCTCCTTCTTCGCCTGCCCCCCCGCTCCTGCCTCCCTGAAGGGGGCTGGGATTCTCCCGCTCGCGCGGCGGCCCGGGGAGGAGCCGTGCGCCCGCACAGGCCCGCGCCGTGCACCTGGCGGGGAGCGGCGGTTCGGCTCGGGGCTGCTCGCGCTTTCTGGAGACATTCGTCTGTTGGTTTTGGGTTTGGGTTTTTTTCCTTCATGAGGGGAAGACGAGAAGGGGCAGAGGAAAGAGCTCGCTGTGTGTTTACAAAGAAACTACTCGTGCATCTGCATCGAGTGTGTCCATACCTGTTCCTTCGTCCACGAAGAAAAGCAGCAGCTTTCTTCCGACGTGGGGGTTTTCCTTCACCTTCCTCTTCCCAGCGATACAAGCATTTCCTCACAACGCTCCGTGTCTGCATAGCAAAGAAAGTCACTTTTCAGCAGCAGTTCAGTCGCTTTTTCCCCATCAAACATTTGCCTGTTGATACACATACATTACCAGTGAGAAATGGGCAGAAGCTGCTCTGTGACACGAGGCCTTGGATGCCATGCCAGGAGCTGAGCTGTGCCACCTGCCCCCCGCACATCCCACTCCTTCCTCACACCCAGCTACCACAAACACCTCGGCAGCATGGATGGAGTCGAGGATTTCCCTTGGAGCCTCCATTTTCCCTTGTGCCAACACCAAATTTACCTTAGGAAACAAAGTTGCTGCAGTCTATACACAAGTGGAATCAACAAGGGATCCCCTTGTAAATCACAGTCAAGCTGTAAATCACGTGCAAGCACTCAGACAATAGATGTTTAAAAGTTGCTTTTCCTTTCAGAGGTTCCCCAGACAGCGGCCGTGTCCTTATAGATCTGCCTCGCTGTAGGTTCTGCAACCATGCTTGAGATTTCTTCTTAGAGCCCCATGGGCCCCTGCCCATCTCAAAAAGTGGGACCAAAAGCTCAGGAATTCTTGTGGGACCCGATGGTTAACGGATGCAGGCTTCCTTTAGGTTTCCTCCTTTCCTAAGAAGGGCTTAATGTTGGGATAGTGTTCAGGAGTTACAGAAGGTCTATAGGAAAGGCTGACCTTCACGCCAACCTACAACGGAAAATAAAGCTTTCTACTATACTTTGCTGCTTGTTAATACAGAAAGAATGCTTATTTTAAAGAGGGCTGATTCCAGATGACATTTCAAATCTGGAGAAATCTCAGTGTTCTTCAAGACAGGAAAGCCAGCAGCTTGTCTTCCTTGATAGAAGTTCTGCAATAAACCAGAGCCCATATCAGAGCCACCGTGAAATAGTAATGGCAAAACTTTGTATGAAGAGATAAAGATGATGCTGACTGAGAGATTTCAACAGAGACCAGTATTTTTTAAAGGAAAGTACTTGCTGTAAGGAGAGTTATTGAGAGTGAGAAGACCCACTGGTGGCTGCTCAGAGCCCCACAACAACCTTTGCTGTGATGGAGGACTATTCACATAGCCCACAGAGCTTCATACCATGTGAAAGTTCATTCTTTGCAGTAGCACAGAGCTCAAATGAAAACTTATTTTCAGAGTGTGATGTTCTTGCTTGGCAATCCCCTTCCTCCTCCAATTAACAGACTAGGGGGCAGTCTCTGAAAGCTGAAACAAAGGAAAGGGAGACTAGGCTATGGAGGTAGGCAGCTAGGAAAGACAGACTTACCAGATTTTATATTTATCAGATATTAAGTTTATGCTTCTTTGTGACTTTAATAGCAACACCTTTGCTAAAAAGACATTTTATCACAATCTGGAGTGATGGCAAATCTAGTAGCAGCCAAGAGCTCAGTATTTCACCAATCACAAAGATGCAGCATTAACCCATTCATATGTTGCAGGGGTATTAGGAGAAAATAAAATTTGGGCAGCTGCGAAAAGAAGCCTGACCTCCATGCTGAGGAAGCTGTCTCCCACCTTTGTGCCAATCCTGCAAGAATTCCTCCAGCAAAGCCAGGGAAAGCAAAGCTGTGACATTCCTGAAATGTCTGACGTATGTTTGTTAGAAAGCAAAAAACAGGTTAAAAATAGTCTTAGCAGGCCTCATTTTTGCCCCCTTTTTCTTATTTGAAGAAAGAGGGATTCCTTTCTGAGAAGGCTGTATGCTGCCAGCACAGAGGACTCCAAGCACAGAGCCAATGCCCCATATCTAACTTTTCTTACGTAAACCTGAGCAAGTCACAGTTTAGCACTTCCTCAGTTTCCCCGACATAAAAGGGGCAGGGAGAATAATTTTCCTTTCATCCTTTCTGTGTAACATAGAGAAAGCTGCAGCAGATTTGGGGCCTGGCTGTGCAAAGAAGGAAGGGGAGAAATGTAGACTGCAAGCCCAGCACTCCCCCCGGAGCTGCAGGCAGGCCAGCTCTTGTTTTCTGCCATTGTTGTCATCCCTGACAGAGAAAGGAGGGAAGTGCAGAGGCTTAGAAGGGAAAACAAAGAGCCCAGCTGTATCTGAGCTCCCAGGGATGTCCTCCAGGATAACCTTGCCATCCCACCACAGCTGGAAAACTTGGCTTGACTGAAATGCTCTAAATGCTTTCTACATATTTACTCCTTCTGGATTTCTCTCTCCTACTCCAGTTTACAGCGTTCTCCTCTCCCAGCTGCCAGAACTCTGAGCTCCTGTAGAGCTAAACACTTAATGACAACTGCAGAAGCCCCTAAAGTGAATTTACTGCCTTATAAATGACACACAAGTTTATTTTATGGCAAATATCAGTACCTAGTCATGCATCTTTATTCCTCTTGGGCAGCACTGTTTACTGAAGACAAAGTCACTAGATCCAAACAGGCTGAAGAGGTTCCGTGGTGATTTGCAAAGGGGATGCAAGGAGAACTGTAAAAAAAAGACAGAAACAAAACAGTTTCCTCCTCTAAGGCCATAGGAGGGTCACTTTCCTATTCCAGCATCTGAGATATAGGTCTTCATACTTCCTCACCCAGCTTTCAGACAGAATGCAGCATCAAGCTAAACATATAGAGGGATTTTTAGTCCTTCTCATCATTTATCACAGGTGAAAATGTGTATAGATAGTCTACAGTAAGTTAGAAATGATTGAGAAAAATACTGTCTGGATGAAGGTTCCCTCATCTCCTCCAAAAAACAGACATGAGGAGGACAACATATACATACAACAGCCATAGTTAAGATCACACATCCCAGGAAGACACCTAAAGAAACTTTAGCAAGGGGTGGGTGAGGTCATGGACTCATCAGGACACGCTTCAGAAAGCTTGGGCCATCTGCCAGATTCTACAGGCAGCACTCAGTGGCTTCTCCAACACCAGTTGCTCACATTCTGCCTGTTAGTAATGGCAGCATTTCCCTCTTCTTTTATCCATCTTCCTGGTTCGGACTGTTGCTCCCTGTGAAAGTAAGCACAGCACAAGCAAGGCCTGAGGTTACGGGAACTTCTGGCACTGCTTTGGAAAAAGAGGCTTCTTAGGTGTTAAACAACACAATTAGTTCAGAACTAATTAGTGGCAGTGCAGTTATTTAAGCTGTCTGATACAGTGCGGAAATGTTACCATCATCTCCTACCTACTCTGTTGGTCAGAAATGGGTGATGGCTAAATAGCAAGAAAGCTATTCTTTTTGGAGCCTAGTCAGGCAAGCAAAAGAGCACATCTGCATTATAGATATAACTGTAGAGAATCATGCATGTATGATCTGGAGTACTCTCCTTCATAGGCAAGAGCCATGCCTGGAATTACAGCCCTTGCATTTCTAGTGCAGCCATTTCCAGCATCATCACCCCAGTGAGGTTATGGCAGCTACAGACTGGAAAACCTGGAGACACTGTGAATCAGGAGATCAGAGTACTATGGGACAGAGCCTTCCCAGGGAAATGAGCTAAAGGAGAGGTGGCTGACAGGTTTGCAAGAGGAAATCTCATACTTTTTTTTTTTTTTTAATCTTAAAAGTGTCCTAAGGGTATTCTGTGTTAGCGAGATGGTGAGGATAAAGAGCCTGTTCCCAAAGCCTCCTGCAAGCTAGCAGCCTCAGGAACAGAAGAGCTGGCACTGCCTGAGGAGGAGGAACATGTCACCATAAAAAGTCCTGAAAATATAAAAATAGTTCAGTGGGTTTTTTGGTGGTGATTCTTGGACTCCGAATGCTTTTCTGGTCGTAACTACACTTCCTGTTGAAGCTACCAGAACAGCAGTCATCGCATTTCTCTGTGCTGCACGAGCAAGTGTTGCTGTTTAAGCCTCCATTCCAGCTACCTTTTTGGAGCTGCTTATAAAATTAACCATTTCTGGTGTTGGAGCCACACTTTCTGTCTAGTTCTTAGTCTACAAAATTCTGTTCCAAAGAAGGGAAAAATTATCCCCTTGACAGCAAATAAGGGAACTACAAGAGTGACTGTCTGAACACAAAGTGCATCACAGTTCTCTTTGTCCCATGCTCTCTTTATGAAGAGCCATCTTTTATTACAGGGAACTCCAACATTGCAGTGGAAATTCAAAGTGTCAGCAAAAGTTAAAGGAATCGGCACAGAGACAAGTATTCAGGGAGTACTGTAAAAATCCCCAAGTGAAACACATAAATTCAAATGAAAAGTCAACTATAATATGTTCTGCCTGCTCCAGACTGCAAGGTTAACTCCAGCCTCTGCTGTGTCTGAGCAACCGACCAAGTAGGTCAGTTTGTGCAGCTATGCATCTCCCTTTCTGCAGTGCTTGCAGTGACCTAAAACTTTACATTTGCACACTCATTGCCACAAGGTATCACCTAAGGCCTTACAACAGTAGGCAGTGGCAGGTTTCTTGAGCCTCACTCCAGTGCTATCCATCACATGGGAATCACTTAAGCAGCTTAGCTTTAGTCATGATGTAGGATAAAGCACACCCCGAGATTCCTTCTCCAAATGCAGGATTAATGTAACACAGCTGGTCACATTACGAGGATGCAAGAACAGATGCTGAATGCGTCACAGAGAAGTGCTGTGGTTTAGTC